GGAGCTGTTGTCTGAGGCAACGTGAGGAGAGGTTGGAGGACTGCAGAGGAGCGCAAGGAGAAGGACTGGGCAACCATAGCCAAGGTAGGGAGCACTCTCCTCCCTTCTCCTCTGGCTGGTGCTGGTCCCACGGGACAGACCCAGTGGTACTGCGGGACTGCGGCAGTGCGGCGCTGTGAGATTTGGGTCTGGGGCCAAATTTTACCAATTTTGGCTTGCTATTTTTCCACTATACTATAGTGGGGAAGTGCTGCCGAAATTTTACAGCGGCGGTACACAGTTTTACTGCGGTGGTACGAAAGTGCTGCCGAATTTTTACAGCGGCGGCACGGACTTTTACTGCGGTGATACAAAAGTGCTGCCGAAATTTTGTTGCGACAGCACGGGGTTTTTCAGCGGTGGTACGGAAGCGCTGCCGGATTTTTGCGGCGACGGTTCTGTTTTTTTCAGCGGTGGTGCGGAAGCGCTGCCGGATTTTTGCAGCGGCGGTTCTGGCTTTTCCGGCGGTGGTGCGGAAGCGCCGCCGAATTTTTTGCGGCGGTGGTTCTGTTTTTTTCGACGGTGGTGCGAAAGCGCTGCCGAATTTTTTTTTGGCGGCAACTCCAGTTTTAACGGCGATAGTGCGGGAGCGGTGCTGGATTTTTTTGCGGCGTCAGTATCATATTTTTGCAGTGACAGCGCTATTTTACGACAATAACGGCAGTATCTGTGCACTAAGTGGAGTTGGACGTTGACACAGAGGAAGTGCGTCAAAGCGGTGTTTTATTTTGAAGTGGCGTGAGGGTACGTCGTGGAGACGCCGTGCTTTAGAGCCAAGTGGCGGTAACGAGAAAACGCCACCGGACTATTGGAAGGTGATCAGTGCTGAGAGGATACTTTGGCAAGCGGTCGTTAAAGGAAGTGGTGTCGATCACTTTGGTGACGACTGGGTGTGACGACCTTCTCGTAAAGAGAGCGTAATTCTATACGGTTTTCTTGAGTGGGCCGAATCAAACTTCACTCAAGGTCAGTTAACCTGATTCAGTTCCCTTCACACCTGTGTGAACCCACACTTTGCTTGACCTTGTCATTTGAATGTTCAAAAGAAAAGGCAGAAGAAAGTTGTGTGAGTCATGCATGTGAATGGAGTGGTCTGACTCGAGTATGAAATTGTACTGTTTTCCTTTGAACTTGTTTTCTTTGTATGTTGTGCAGGTAGGTAGAAGGGTGTCTGCTATGGAGATTGATTTTGCTTATTGGAGAAAAGGAAAAGGATTATCTCCTTTCTACCTTTCACCTGCCTGCTTGTCAAAAAGAAGTTGTTTTGGAAAAATGTTATTCAACGTGTGTCACAGAATGGATTCTATTGAAATAAAGCAGATAAGGTCAAACGGATTTAGCTTTTCCCAAGGATTGACGCATTCTATCCCGAACGACCTTATCTACCTATACCTGTCTAAGTGATTCTCGTTTTCTTTATCTCTTCTGATTTCTCTTCGTCTAAGTTACCCCGGGACTTAGGAGAAATAAAAAGTATATGAAAGCTACTTACGGTGGACGCATCCACTATCTCTAGGAAGCATCTGGGGCGGGGGTTCGTTACTTCAGGAGCCGACCCGGTTATCGACCCAGAGTGGACCGTTTTACGGGGGGGTACTTGCTGATTTGGTGGAGACGGTCCGACTTCTGAGATCCGAGTATTGTGCTCGGACGAGGAGGAGGAGTACCCCAGACCACTTCCTAGAGGAAGAGGCATGCAACACGTCAAGCAATACCCCTGATCAAGAATCAATCACAAAGTAGCTAGTCATCCGAAAAGATTGAAAACGGACGAAGGCATGTATGTGCGACGAGTTTCAGGTCGGCAGTAAGCTGGAATGAAAGACTTTGGCAACCCGTCTCATCAAGTCAAAACTGAGATTGTCTGACTACCATGTTGGCAACATCAATGTTATTTTCGATTAGCCAACTTTTCGTTGACAGTTGTTTTGATTGTTTTGTGGTATTCGACCTGAGGCGGCCGGATAATTTTTGATCTTGTGTTATTGGATGTATGAGATGATGAATTGTATTTTTTTCTTCAGTTATCTTTTCATACTGGGAATATTTATTCGTTTCGGCTACGGTCGACTCCTTTTGATATAATTATATGTATGGTTGTCGTAACTTTCGTTTGACTGTATGTTGAAGGGACTAGGATCAATGAAGGGTTTCAGGTTTGGTTGAGACCGTCCTAGTCGACCGACGTCCGCTTCGTACCTAGGAGATCAGCGCCCTGGGGGACGAACGACGTTGGGTCCACTTGGCGTTAACCAAGCGACTCCTATACTGCAGCGAAACGAGCAAACGTCCTCAGCTGGCCTACCTCTACGATTGCATCTAAAAGCTTTCGCACGTGGGTCAGTGGCTCGGTAGGGATACGCCCCTAAGGGTGGTGACAGTCCCTTAGGGATGCAAGCTTATGCCACGCGGGAACCTGTCCTGTCGTAGGGGACCGCGGGATGTATAGCTGGCGCACCCGGCTAGAGCGGCGAAGGAGCGATGCAACGGCGTCTGTTTCGGTGGTTCGCGAAATGTTATGCGTCGTTCCCGAGTTTAAACTCCTGCGTGACATGACCGGGAGGGCCCTCGCTCGCGCGGGGGCTGATGCGGTCGACACCGCCATCCTCCCGCTCCTCCAAATAGTGACCAACTTCGAAAAGTCAACCCTGCACAAATAAGGATGACGAACGATAAAATAAATTGACGTAAGCACAAGAGAAGATGAGGAATGCCCATATTGACTGACCCTAGCAGATCTTTCATACTCTCAGACTAAAACTCATACTAAGACCTATCTAAATATTAACACACAAATTAACACAATTCTATCATATCGCTAATGTAGAGTACCACCTAATAAAATGAGGAATCAGATACTATCTCTACTCGCGGTGCTTTTCCGTCACCCTTACCTTAGTCCCGGGCCTTGAACTTTTTCAGTTTCGAACCCGAGACTCAATCTTTCCATGGCGTGTCGTTAAGCTCCTCAAGCTTATATGCTCCGTGCTGCCCATACCGTCTAATGCGATATGGACCCAGTCATCGCTTGTCCAACTTATGAGACCAATGTTTCTCTAGTGACGAGTCATATAGTAACACCACGTCTCCGACTTCCAATGGCTCCTTCCTGACTCGTGAGAGGAGATTCCACCTCTCCTTGTCCCCCAATCGAATGTTTGTTACCCGATCTGCCGCTTCTTGGATCCTCTCTTCTGCGATGCCAACTTGTCTGGCCCACAAATCCAACAATTCCTCAAAGGACAAGGTGCTCTCCATATCCTACCTCCTCCACGTCTTCAGAAAGCTCTTTATCGGGAGTGCGGCATGCCTTCCATACCATAGCGTTATTGGCGCGTACTTCGTGGATCTCTTAATCGTAATATTTTTCACTAAGAATGTTGCGCGCAGATGCTTAGGCCACTGATTCTCCCTGTCGTTTGTCCATTTCGCCAGTAGATTCGTGATTGTGGTATGCCCTCTCTCAACTGGGGCGTTCGCCTGAAGGTGTGCCCTAGTTGTGTAGCTGGCTTGTACGCCATACTCTTGCAATAAGGTTCTTACTTCTCCATAGGTGAATTCTGACCCTTTGTCCATCACGAATCCTACAACAAAAGGATATCTGAGGAAATACTCGGAGATGCACAAAACCAATGTTTCGTCCGTCTTGCTGCGAATGACTTGCCCATCGACAAATCCCATAAGATTGTCCCGTGTGTCGAAGATGTAGTTGTAGCCGCACACTCCCTGAGGCATTACTAACAGGTCCAGATGGATCACGTACCATCGACATGTCAGACAAGGACAAAACAGACGTTAGTTTAGCGGAGATATGGGAGAGTGTCATACACGATGACATCGGGGTCGACAATGTCAATGCGATTTGCACTGACAATGCGGAGGTCATGAAGGCGGCAACCAATGTTCTTCAGTGTCACCCCGACCCCGCCATTGCACGCATATCTTGGATCCCGTGCGTAGCATATTGCGTGAACTTGCTGCCGAGGGACATTGCTGCATAACCTTTGGTGAAATAAGTCATGAACCGGGCACACAAGTTATTGAAGTTCATCAGAAACAAACAAAGGGCGCTCGCGCTGCATCGGGGCACGGAGCATGCGCTGGACCTCAGGTGACCAGCGAATACTCGGTTCGGGACTGCTTTCATGATGTTGGAGAGGTTGTGGACACAGAGATCCGTGCTTGATGAGGTGGTGTCATCGGATAAGTGGAAACGTGCACGATGGGTCGGCGATGCACGAACTGATGAGCAGGAGGAAACTGTGCAGATCTGATTCATGGTGGCAGCAGGTGAAAAGAGTGATGAACGTCATGGAGCCGTGTTATACTTTCCTCAGGGACATGGACCGTGATGGGTCCTCACCGCCTGGTTTGTGGGATTCGCAGTCAATCCTTTAGAGGAAGATTGATGCTCTGTGGTTGGAGGAGCATGAGAGGGTTGATGTTATGAAGATAGTGGCGGACAGGTGCGCGATGATGCGTCAGCCTGCCCATGCTGCAACTTATTTGCTGGATCCTCGTCGGTGTGACGTGACTTTGTTGCGGGATTGGTCAGCCCCCGTTGTGCAGAGTGCACTCAACCACTTCGCACGCACCTTAGGTGGAAACTGGGGGGCGGATGAGATGCACACACTTTGGGAGGTTTTGTGGATTTTCCACTGCGACGATCCGTGTTACTGGCCGGAGCAAGGACCTCACTGGTGGGATCAGTATGCCACTCGGGATGCAACATCGAAGACCATGCACCCAGCGTTGTGGTGGGAGCTTCACGGCGGTCATTTCCCGAATTTGCAAGCCATCGTGAAGAAGGTGCTTGGCATGTAGTCCACAGCGACTCCTTGCGAGCGGAATTGGGCGAGCCACGACTTCATGCACACGAAGAGGCGCAACAACCTTTCTGCGCAGAGTGTTGAGAAGCTCGTGTTCATTCACTGGAGCATGCAACTTCTCAATGCGAGCAGGCGGCCGGATAGTCGTTATATCGACGTATAGGCGGATATGGTGGAGGACCCCCCAGAGGAGATCGTCGATGCAGATGTCATCCCTGCAGACGTGGGCGAGGAGGAGTGGGAGAACATGGATCAGGTTAACCGTTGCAAGGATGGTCGTAACTGGATCACATCTGTATCGGCGGATGATTGTGTGACAGATGATGTGTCCCCATGGCAAGATGCGGTTTGGATGCACCGAGAAACGATGGAGCATGAGCAAGTGGATAGGGGTAGAGGGAAGGTGGTCGCAGAGGACTAGTACGACATTATGGATGAGTGGGCGACATTGGACCCGCACACAGACTTCGACTCGTACGTGGATGGCAGTTTCCAGACAGTGAGGACCCTCCGAAGTAGGGTGGGAGGTCATGTTGATGTGGAGGGTCTATTGGCGAGAGAAGATGCACAGGAAGAGGACATCGAGCACGACCACGAGGACATCCTTGCGTCAACTTCACATCCACAGGCGACAGAGATAGGGTCATCAGGCGCCGCGACATCACATCGCCTCGTTCGTCCAGAGTCTTCTCATCATGCGGGGCCAGTCACTGTCGATTCCACAGGTCTGGAGGCATATGCTTCTGCCACGACAGGTTCTCCTGCTTGCACCGACAATGTGCGCAAGACTAACGGGTCTTCAAAGACTGTCGTGGACAATGTTGCGGTGCACGAGGCAGAGCAGAGGCTGCAGGATAGCGTGGGTGATCAGGCGCCGCAACATCACATCGCCTCGTTCGTCCAGAGTCTTCTCATCATGCGGGGCCAGTCACTGTCGATTCCACAGGTCTGGAGGCACATGCTTCTGCCACGACAGGTTCTCCTGCTTGCACCGACAATGTGCGCAAGACTAACGGGTCTTCAAAGGCTGTCGTGGACAATGTTGAAGTGCACGAGGTATAGCAGAGGCTGCAGGATAGCGTGGGTGATAGGTCAGCTCAGGCAACGGACTGAAGGCCACAACACAGGGACAACGTGGAGCAGGTGGCAAAACAGCGTGCAGAGTGTCTGGGGTTAAACAGACTGTCGTGCAGACGGTGGACGAGGTAGTACAAGACTTGACGGGCCAGAGGGTTGAGCAGAGGGTGGATCATAGCGCAGATCGAAGATTGGACGAAAGAGCACACCCGTCGGACAGGGAGGGCAGTCGTCCCATGGTCGTGCAGACTGTAGAGCAACGTGTGGGGGTGGGTTTGGCCGTGACTGTGGAGCAGAGGGCGGAGCAAAGGGTACATCCATGTGCTGCCTTAGGTGTAAATCCTAGGGTGGAGCAGAGGGTGGAAGTTAGGGTGAATGTTGTTGTGGAGCACCACATGGACCAGGGGAGATTAGGCATCGTACGCATGAGAGTGGGCGAGAGGATTGACGAGAGTGTCATCGGAGCTGAGGGCGATGTCATGGTGGAGGAGAGGATAGAGGATAGGGATAGGGAACCCCCGCAAGAGAGTAGTGCGCAAGACATTGCACTCACCGGAGCTTCGTTCTACGGAATTTCCCCGCTACCCCCACGTGCTGCACAGTCCTCTCAGAGGTGAGATCTTGGTGTACGTGGCATGTCGCCACCACGTCACGTGGCAGCTCAGGACCGAGCATCTAGAGGAATCATGGGTGGTGTTGACCGAGGCTCCAGCCAGGCGACGCAGGGAGGGGGACGCAACTTGTTATTGACGAGTCGTGTACCCTCGACCAGTCCAGCAGGCATACCGTCGCCGCCCGAACTTGGAACCATCCATTCGCCCCACTCATCTACGCTCAGCAGAGGCTCTAGTATTCCCACGTCACTACGGTCGTCGTCGTCCAGGACGATTTGCACGCCCATGCGCAGTCCACCGGGGATGCCCCCACTTCCGGCACGACGACCATCAACCATCAGTGATAATGTCAAGACGAGTCGTGCCGCCAGGAAAAAGAGACAGAGGGAGGACGACGGAGGCGAGATCCACCCCTAGCATGCCCCAGAGCAGGCACCGGTCGACCACGTGGCTCGGGCAGAGGACGAGGCAAGCAACAACAATCATGGGCACCGAGTGCACTACGGGATGCTTATGCAGAGACTGTTGACCTTGCGGAGGGGGTTGCTGCAGGTGGAGGTGTCTAAGGCGGTATCCACACCAGATCTTGAGCCGCCGACAGAGAGAGCCAGAAAACCTCTTCTCACGTGGTGGACGATGATCCTGATGGTGATGATCAGGGCAACACATCGGATGAGATGTCCGACAGCGACTACGCGGACGAGACTTGTCAGAGGGGTCAGGCTGAGGGAGGAGATGATGACAGCTCCGACGGCACTGCCGAGGTGGCAGACTAGAGGGTTGTGGTGTTATCTAGTCCATCCTTCTACGTGCATTGAGAATTGTCCGAGTTGTGGCATAGTGGGTCTCAGGAGGTGGATGCAATGTGCATTTGGTGAGCGGGAGTGGAGCGTTGGTTGCAGCTATGGCAGCGGAGAGAGAGAGAGAGAGAGAGAGAGAGAGAGAGAGAGAGAGAGAGAGAGAGAGAGAGAGAGAGAGAGAGAGAGAGAGAGAGAGATTCGTTGGTGTACTTGCTGCACTGGTAGTGCGTTGTTTCTGTTTCTGTCTCAGTCCCTCGTCGAGCTTGAATCCGCATCAGCAATCTGCAACTTTGTTCAACGAATGCGTTTGTCAATATAAATCGTGTACATGTGTGTTTATTTCTGTGTGCGGCTGGCTGCGAGTGTGGGTGTGGGTGGGTGTACAGAGTGTGTGTGTGTGTGTTTATGTGTATGTGTGTCAGTAGATATTGTTTTTGTGTGTGACTGTGTGTATGTGTGCCCACTTGTGTGTCACTGTGTGTGTTTGTGTGTGGATATAATGTGTGTGTGTGTGTGTGTGTGTGTATGTGTGTATGTGTGTGCAAAGATGACGCTGCCACTGCAGCCGCTGCATCTGCCGGAGCGGATGGTCCACACGCTGTGTCAGACGAAGCAGCTGCAGTCGGTGCATGTGCAGCAGCCGCTGCATGTGCAGGAGCAACGGACCCTCCATTTCAATTCCCCAAGCAATCCACCCCCCCCAACACCCTACCATCACACCACGCACACCGTATCAGAATTTTTTTTTCGTTTTGCTCAGAACAACATGAAATATTTTTTGGGGGTTCCCCTAGTGGTGCGCAGACCCCCTTTTTTTTGTTTGTTTTTTTTTTGGCAAAAAAAACGTGGTCCGATTTTTCGGACAACTTCCCCCTGACCATCTTCCGGAGACGTTCGGGGGAGACGTGTCTCAATCGGACAGCTGACAACCTAGAATCTAACCCTATAAAACTAGAAAGATTTCGGCAGCGCTTCCCATAGGAAAAATGTATTTTCATAATTTATAAAAGGCTAAATATTAAACTCAAAATAAACCTCACTTCACAAAGTCAAATTTTGTTCAACTCCCTGATTTAGAAAAAAAAACGGGCAGCACTTCCCCTAGAAAGGTGGGCTTCCCAAATTTAACTAAGCCGGATATAAACTCAGACAAAAGTTGAACTTTGAAAGTCAAAATTTGACTAACTCCTTGGTTTTGTAGAAATTTCAGCAGCGCTTCCCGTAGGAAAAGTCGCTATCAAAATTTATACAGAGCCAAGTAAAATAAAAAATCCCAGAAAATACGAGAACTGGATCTAAGTAAAATAAACTTAACTCAGAAAATTGAGGAATTGAACTAACTCCTATAACTCCAGCACGTGGCGAACACTAACAAATTACCCTATTATGCAGAAAACACACAGAGTCTGAACAAAAGACAAGTCTTTGTCAACAAGCATGTCATGTCCACAACGCATTCAACCAATTCAAGACAAAGGTTTGTTAATCCAAAGTTTTCATTTTTCGCTTGTCCTGATCACAAAAACATTAGTCTTGTATCTTACTTAGTTGATTAACTTTTCTAGTTGTTCTCAGTCAACCACATGCAATTACTAACACACTAGTCTGGACTATTCTCTAAAGGATAAAATTAAGACATTTGTCAACAAGCAAAACTGATTGACTTAGCAAAGAAACCGGATCAGTCAGGAGGACCTCATTTCCAGCCTCCTTTCAATGTTTTTGGCAAACGAGCAAAGCGACCGGATCAGCTAGGAGGACCTCATCTCCAGCCCCCTTTCAATGTCTTAGGCAAAGGAGCAAAGCGATTGGATCAGTCAGGAGGACTTCATCTCCAGCCTCATTTCAATGTCTTAAGCAAACAAGCAAAGCGACCGAATAAGTCAGGAGGACCTCATCTTCAGCCCCATTTCAATGCCTTAGGCAAACAAGCAAAGCGACCGGATCAGTTGGGAGGAGCTCATCTCCAACATCATTTCAATGTCTTAGGCAAACGAGCAAAGTCACTAAATCAGTCAAGAGGACCTCATCTCCAGCCCCATTTCAATGTCTTAGGGAAACGAGCAAAGCGACCGGATCAGTCAGAAGGACCTCATCTCCAGCCCCATTTCAATGTCTTAGGCAAACGAGCAAAGCGACCAGATCAGTCAGGAAGACTTCATCTCCAACCCCATTTCAATGTCTTAGGCAAACGAGCAAAGCGACCGGATCAGTCAGGAAGACCTCATCTCCAACCCCATTCAAATCATCGTAAGGCTATGTAAGCAGACATCGTGGATTTCATTTCAGATAGATAAATTTAGACAAACAAAGTAAATTTCCAAGGAAATATAAAAAAAGTCAAAACTCATTCAAATTGAATGAAGGGTAGTATAGATAGGGGTATAGGGGATCTTAAGGGAGATCGTGTTGGCCTACCTCAAAGTTCCCTGCCTCAAGAGTGCCGCCCGAACCCCGGCAGAGCTCCCGCAATCGGTGGGGCGAACCACCCATAGAGGCCTTGGCACGGATTACGGGTTTCAATCCCGCCTGCCGTCTTTCTCTCGGAACCAAAAAAATAGAATTAGAGTGAGAAGGGCAGAAGAAGGAAGTTAAGTCACTCAGATATAAGAGAGGTGCACTCAGACTCACATGAGAGGGCCTTGAAACCTTGACGCGTCTGAGGGCCCCGCAATGGCAGCCAAAATGCTATGATGGTGGTGAGACTACGACCAAAACGCCAAGCGACTGCAACCTGTCGCTCCTCCAAACGTAGTCGTGACCCCTTTTTCGAGTCTGATCACTTCCCAAAATTGTGACGTCTTTCCCCTGACCAGATTGCTATTACACAACCGAGAGAAAAACCCTGTTCAAATAGATTGCACCCCTGTGCTCTTTTTGAAGTGCAGGCAAAACGCAGTTGTGTTCAATAGAAAACTACGCACTTAGCAACCGTGCACATCACTAAGGCACGATAGGTATGCACAACTCTATGCCCGGCAAGACAGCAAGGTCCAACGCCTTATATAGAAACACACGACGTGCGTTGAGGCGTGGCAACAACACGCGCAACAACCAAGCAAACATTCCGTCCACAGGCAATGTGCAACAGCATGTCCAACACTGCCAACATTTAGCGTATTTCTTCATATCAACACTTACGTCCAAGGTGACAGACTCAACCCCACGCTGCAGTCTTCACTTCATAGTGCGAACAACAGTTGAGGGTGCACTATGTAGCAGCAACCTTGATCTTCACAGCTGTGCTCAGATACACCGTCAAGTTGGCTGCCCTCGGCAGCAGCAGTCCCGTAGCACATGCCCAACAACTTGCCTCACAGGATTGCAACGCCCTGTAGCAGCCTTCTAAGCACAGCAGTAACCTGCCCGAGCGTCAGCAACAGACGTCAGCAATATGCCACTCCTCACCATAGCGGCAGTCGGGCTCAGGGAATCGTAATTAACGGTACTTACAACAACTCAAAGACCCGTAGTCTCGCGACATCAAGCTCAGAAACTCTCTACTTGTAAATCCTTACTATGCCCAGACCTGATAAGTTTCAATACTACTGTATGTCACCCTCTGAATTGGATCTCAGGTCTGTACTCCAGCAGTCCAAGTGTATATCGACTGAACTTAGGCCGTCACCGAGTACATTCACCAAGATGATGCAAAGTTGGGAGTTTCGACTACGGTGCGAGCCAAAGCAAAGCGGACACTTTCACGGAGACCACCTTGTCAGACACATTTAGAACCTTGACTGGTAGTACTTGAATCACCATAGCAGGCATGGCCAGTAGCAGCGGGTCATGTTCCTGCACTCGCCAATCTGTGCAAAGTGGGACTGATTCTTCCCTTAGACATGAGAAGATATATGCGCGAGGGATCGACTGTTTTCTCCCTCAACAACTCAACAAAAACAGCCCGCTGCTGCTAAAAACGCTGGCACCTTTACTTAGCTACACGGCATCTACCCTGCCTCCTCAACTGTTGTAGTCCTAACGACAATAATCATAGTGCAAGATGCAGAGTCTGCTGGTATAACCCCTCAACCCAGCAGTCCCTTCATTTGCCTTGAGTGTTGGAAGGGTCAGTCAAAGTCTGTATCAGCAATGGCAACCTACCAACCTGGCAGCAGCGCTGGTTTCATTTCTCAGTCGGAAACGCGTGGTAGCGCACTTCGCTACCCAAAAAAAACGGTCATGCACCACTGCCTACAGATTCAAGGTTAGCTCTCACTCTTTCGACCCCTGCTGTGCCTATGGGTGGATCGGACATAGTACTGCACCAGGTTGGGAACATTCACTACCAGGTAAGTGTTCCCTCTCTCTCCCTCCTATCCTTGCGCACCTACCTGTATCCCCCCCTAACATTTATCATAATGATTGGGAGAAGTGTCACGACCGAGGCAAGGACCATGTCGAACAAACATCAAATCATCCAAATGTCAACGATGGCTAGCACAACAATCGTGCTAACTGGGCCTGCCTAGCCACGCACCAAAAAACGAGAATGGATTTTTAGCTACAACAAGGGCACGTGCATGCCACCTAAAACTACCTACTGCAACACCCATCAGTCGCCCCGTGCTCTATGCACCTGGTCGAGACTCCAACCAAGTTCACACAACTGTAATGCAGCAAGGGTTGCTATGAAAACAAGGTGGCATGATTATGACAAGCTATACTGATGGCAATCAACATCTCTATGAGGAGCCCGATATTCAAGTAGGCCTCCCTCTTTTTCTCGTCCTTGTCACTCTTCTCTTCAATCTCTCTCTCTCTCTTCCTCACTAGTACTGCGCCTGATTTATTCGTTGCCTGTCGCATGCAGCATATGAGGACGTATTCCTCCGCCAAAACATGGGCAGGTACATGCATCCCACCGTTGTTGCTTATTGCTTTCGTTACTCGCTGCACTCACTACAAACGAAATGAATCCCCTACCAGAAACGGTCAAGGCGCATTAGTTCAGCAATAGCCATTATTGCCACAACGAACTACGATGATGGGAGCGCCCTCCTACCTACCAAACCTACAAAATGAGCGTGAATCTTCCGC